CTTAAAATGTCAGATGCTGGGGGGATTTTTCTCAAGAATAAAGATAATGCCTGCCCTCATTAAACTATACTTTAGAATCCATACATGTCCATGTCTTCTACCTACCAGCCATCCAGTGTTCTGCAGGTCTCTTTGGAACTATATTGTAGTCAGCATTCTCCTCATTCATTCATTCATTCATTCAGCTGTGTTTACTGTATTTTTAAATTTTGAGACAGGGTCTCACCAAGCCACTAAATTTCCCAGTCTGGGCTTAAACTTGTGATCTTCCAGTCTCAACCTCCCAGAGTCCTGGGATTATAGGTGAGCACCACCATGCCCAGCCAATGTGTTTATTAAAGAGCCTACAATGTACTGGTACATTGGCAAATCAGAGGTGAAGGAGACTGGTAACATCCAGCTCTCAAGGAGGTTATTTTCTACTAGGCAGAGGCATTCAATAAACCAGCAAACAAACAAAGTCAACATTTAAAACAGTGATCAGTGCAATAATCATGAAGGAACAGGGTAAGACACAGTGAGCTAAAGTGGTAGAAAGGCCTCACTAGGGAGACAAAATGTTGAGCTGAAACCTGCATGCCAAGCAGGAGCCAGTGCTTGGGAATCTACAAAGATTAATTCTGCTGAATAGTTAGGACTGATTTACTCAAATCATTGTACAACAGTTTTTAACCTTACAGTAAGTGTCACAGACAATACACATGATTCCAAGCCGAAATCTTAGAACCCTAGCATAGCAAGAATGTGCACCTTTTATTTACCAGCAGGACCACCCCAGGCGCTTTGCTCACTGAGGGCATATTTAATTACCAAATGGTCTGCAAATGTCTTCCAAATTGTTTAAAGCTGTGTTTACTCCTGACCTTCCAGAACTTATTTTTCTGCCTTTATTACAGAAATGCTTACTTTCCCTGATGAATTTGCATCCTCAATGATTCACCATTCATTTTCATTTAGCATTAGTTTCTTAAATTCTTCCTAACAACAAGGTGCCTGAAAAGTATTTTTATTTTATGTCATTAGCATCTCAGTCACCTTCCCATTGCTGGGACACAATGTCCAACACCCATAATTTTGGCTCACGGTTCTGGTCTATGGTGGCCAAGTCAGAAACAACATGGCAGAGGGGCATGGTAGACAAAAAGCTGCCCAAATCAGGGCAGCCCGGAAGCAGGCTCCAAAAGGAGGAGCCAAGGAAGGAGAGACACCCACGAAGCCACGCCCCCAGCCAATGACCTCCCTCCCACCAGGCTCCACCTCCTAACAGCAAGTCAGCTAGGAATGCACCTGCTGATGAGTACAGGAACCTCACGATCCAGTCTCCTTCCAGAAGCCCAACCCCTGAACACATGAGGCTTTGGGGGGACATTCTAGATCCAAAGTCTAAGAGTAACTAATTTCACTGCCACATGAGCAATTCTAAGCTTGAGGAAGACTTTCGGCAGCGCTATTTTCTTGTGCGGAGGCATATTCACCACGCCCGCCAGATTTAGAAATGATCACTCTAGCTGGTACCTTACAAGAAAAGACTTCACATCATATATTAATTTTTTTTTTAATGTTTCCTGAAGCTCCTTTTTGCCTTTATGGCCACCCCAGAGGCCAGGTGAAAAACACAAATGATTATAATGTGGATGTGTTTAAAGGCACGCAAGTTGGCCATTGCTTTTCCCGTGTCACATCGGGACACCTCCATTATGGATACTTAGGTGTGTGATGATTTGTCAGCGAGCTAACCATAACTTAGGAGGAAAACTGGACTCCATTAAAAAAACATTAAAAGCTGAGAGGAGCACAGTCGCTGTGGTATGGCTCCCAGCAACGAGGAAGCAAGAGTGCCTGCTGAAGCTTAGAAATAGAAAGTGATGTCCTCATAAAAACATGGCTCTAGGCAGGTGTGCCGCTAGAAATTCTTCCCTCGGTTTAGAATATTTTGCTCCAAGGGATTTCACCTTTCAAATGTATCTCTGGATGCAAAATAGGCTTTGCAGGAGGAGGTAGCATTGAAGAAGGAAGAAAACATTCGGTCCCAATTAGGATCTCTTTACATTAAACTGAAGATGTTTTTCCAAATAGAATATTTGATCAGGAAGTGTGTAAGTGTGTTAGCTGTGTTACCTCCCTGAAATCAAGTGATCTTCTGGCCTCCGTAACTAGAAAACAACGTTGCTGATAACAGATAGGGCTAAACGATATTAAAAGCTTCGGTACTACTGTTTATCAGGGGAACCCTTCAGCCTAATTGGAAAGTTCAAAGCTTCAGGCATCTGAAATTTTTGGTTTTGGGCTCTTCTACGGCATTCCAGTGCTGTCTATCCAATCAATAAATGTGATGCTATGCGCAATACCATCACGAGGCTTATGGACTCCCTTGAGTTTTGAATTTGACTTGTTAAACTGTAAAGAAAAAAAAGACTTACAGAAACAAACAAAAAAGAAATATCTTGGTCTCTAGCTGCCAAAATACAAAACAAATAAACTTCAGTGTTCAAAGAACACTGAAAAGGGAAAGTGGAAAATATATACAGATGTATTTTGTAATCTTTTTTTTTCTTTTTTGGTACCAGGGATTGAACTTGGAATCTTACGCTTGCGAGGCAGGTGCTGGAACCACTGAGCTAAATCCCCAGCCCTATACAGATGTATTTTTATGTGTAACACATGGGCAACTTGGGTGATCTCAAATAATGTCCCATGTGCTAGGCAAAAGGAGCATCTATCCAGGCAAGTCAATTATGTGTGAAGGTTGAGTTGTGATGAAGTTCTGATGATGTAGGCTCACTATAGCCTATAGACAGGAGGCTTTGTCCTATTAGAGATTACGTGTGGCATTCTTCCTCCTAACCTAGCGACAAGCAGTGGGTTACGGATGCCACAACGGAGACCCACATTTTAAGCAAGTTTCATAGAGTCAATTTCTCAGAGACTTCATCCAGGATATTTCAGGGTTTTCTTAACAAATCTCCCCTCACAGAATCAAATGGCAGGATCGCCACACTCTGGTGACTTCGACAGAACATTTGATTCTGTGGAATTCCATGTTCCAGAGAAGTTCTGCTGAAAGGACCAGGAAGGTTTCCCTCAGCAATGACCGGAACAAGGGGTTCATTTGGGTTTTAATTTTCCCTTTTCCCACAGGGTTCACTGAGCTGCCTCCCTCCCAGGCTTGGAGGGAAACAGGAAGTGTTGGCACTTGAATGAGAGGTGAAGGCTCAGAAGTTAGCATGGGCCACACCCAGCAGCTGGGAAACATCAGCCTCTGGAACTGCTTGGCAAAATCTTGCCCTCTCTGTCTGGGATAAGACACAGGTCTAGAGTTTGAATCTGAAGATTCATATTTACTTATCTTTTAATATTTGGAAATCAGAATAATAGCCATGAGCCAGCAGCAGTTGGCCACGGTTGTCACTCTCCGCACCCAGCCAGGGGACCATGGAAGGGCACAGGAGGGGTCCTGAAGATGATCGGAGATGGCCTGCAGGAAATGCCACACACCCAGTGCTCTCGCGGAAGGCAAACGTGACCTCCAGGATGCTAAGTTGGAAAAGAATTCATAAATCAGGCCTAGAATGTGAGGTCTTACAACTATTTTAACCAATTCATTTTATTAACATTTACACTTCTTTATATTTATACTCTTATTATAAGAGGTATATGTGAGGTAGATAATACCATAATAAGCTAAATAAACTTTTTCAATAACTATATAATAAAAATTCAACAAGGAGGGCTAGGGATATCACCCAATGGTAGAGCTCTTGCTTAGAACGTGCAAGATTCTGGGTTCAATCCTCAGTACAGCAAGGAAAAAATGTATAAAGAATAAAAAAAATCACTCCAGGGATGTAGCTCAGTGGTACCACTCCTGCCTGGCAAGCTCAAGGTCCTGAGTTCAATCCCTGGTCCCGAGGGGAAAAAAAAAGAATAAAAAAAATCACTGTGTCAGAGTTGTAGGACTATGTTTTCATTTCTTAGTGATACATACAGTCTTATTGAGTCGTACAATCAATGACATCTGAAAATTCACAGATATGTGATAACCTGGAATGTGTGTGACCTGGAAGATTTTACTTAGCCATTCTGAGCTGCAGATGTTTTTCTGAAAAAGGAAACTAATGACCCCCACCTCAAAGAGAGGTTGGGGCTGTAGAAAGTTCACAAAACCCTGCGTGAAGCTTGTCTGTTCCTAGTCAATAGCAATAGCTATCATAGCCTTCTCAAGTATCTACTTCACCCTGGCTATTGTATACATGCTGCAAACATCTTGTTTACTTCCCCCACTTCGTTATATTTGTCAATTATGAAGCAGGTAGAAAAGGGAACCAAACACCACAAAGGTCTTGATGACCAATGCGTTGCTGAGTGATCATCTATGAAGTAGACAAACTGGAATGATTATCTGTTGGGGATCCAGTGTTCTAATGATGGAAAAAAATGTGACATAATTTTTTTCTTTTTTTGATGCTGGGGATCAAACTTAAGACCTTTGCCATGCTGGAAAAACACTCTACTTCTAAGCCAAACCCACAGCCATGACATCACAGTTTTAAAATGTTATTCCAGGAGAACAGAAGAGAGTATATCAAACTCAAAGTAGGAAAAAGAAGTTTTTAATTAAAAAACTAAATTTTAGCTGGGTGCATAGCTATAGTCCCAGCACTGTGGCTGAGGCAGGATACTTTCAAGTTCAAGCCCTGTCTGGACAATTTAGCAACTTACCAAGATCTTGTCTCAAAAAATAAAATGGGCTCGGAGTGTAGCTCAGTGCAAAGAGCTTTTTAATCCGCAATACCACAGAAAAGACAGACAGACAGAGAGACAGACAGAAAGACATTGAGCTGTGTCAAAATGTTTGTATTATAAAAGGCTAAACTGAAGTTTTTACCTCTGATTCAAAAAAAAAGTTTTAAAAAAGGAATGCACAAATGAACAGCTTAATCCCAAACAAAAATTTCTAAAATGAGCTTTTATTTTTACTTGATTTTTTTGACAGTGGGGAAACAGAATGTATGAGCCTCCAGTGCTCTTTTCTTATTAGTATTTTCCTGCACAATACTCCCCAGAATACTGTGGATATTGTCTTTCTATTTGGAGAGGTCACAGCTGGGGAAGACATAATTGAGAAAAGAACAAGTTGGCCAATGTAAGCTTCAACAAATGTGCAATAGTGCTCTTTTAAGAGGCTAGGTGACTGCCCAGACACATACGGCCCTGTGATTAAGGACCCTGTGATGTCAATAGGATGGGGATTGGTGGAGCACACTTGTGGGTGTGTCTGAATGGGTCATGGAAGTGTGACCTTGAGTACTATATATAGTCCATCCCTGGCCCCTTCCTCCCTGGTACTGTTGCCCTGCTCTGCTTCCAGGCCACAGCTTTGCTCCACCATGCCCTTCTGCCATGATGTTTCTGTCCTGGAGCCAGCTAACCATGGACTTAACCCCCTTAAAATATGAGCCAAAGTAAACCTCTCCTTCTTTAAACTGTGGCTGTTCAGTATTGTGTCCAGCAGGGGTAAAGTGGTCTAATAAAGATCTCAAAGTACAGAAAATCAAGCAAACCGATGATATTAATGGGTGAATTTATATTCCCATAATTTAAAATCAAAGTACACCCAAAACAAAGAAAAGAATATGTTTTAAACACTCAAGTAAAAAACGGTAATATACAGTATAACGAGAAAGGCAAAGGTTACAAACAGTGGGGCCCTGTGCAGGAGTGAGCTGAGTTTCCCCTTGGACATCAACCTTGACCCTGAGCACCCTTTCTTCAACCAACTAGCTGGGCCCCTTGGAACTGCTGCTGCAGTGATGGAATTTTTATGAGACCCATTATGTCTCTGCTCCCTGGTGCTGTGTATCTTTACAGATAAATATCCTGTGTGTCCCAAAATAAGATGGTGCAGTGGAGGTGGCAGCACACCCAGAACTAGGACAAGCCTATAAACTGAGGCCATGTGGCTTTGAGTACTCACGACACAGCACAGCCGCTGCCAAGGGGAGAGGGAATGTGCCCTGACCGCCGCCCCTCTCTGCTAACCTGGCCCCACGTTTTTAGACAGATAGAGCTGCACAGAGTTTCTTCAGAGGAGATATGGACAGGGGGAACTTGAAGCTTCCACCGCAACTGCTTTCATTAAGGACACCAGCGACTTGGTGCGCAAACCTTCGGGGCACTCTTCGACACCTTTCTTTTTCTCTCTTGACCACATCCTTCTTGGCCACATAGCAGCTTTCTGTTGCTGTGACAGAATACATGAGAGCAGGTGGTTTATAAAGAACAGATTTGTTTTGGCTCATAGTTCTAGAGGCTGGAAGTTCAAGAACACAGGTTCAGCTCCTGGTGAGGGACTTGTGCCATGACAGAACATGGTGAAAGGGCAAAAGGACCAGTGAGCACATATCAAAGCACAGCCTCACTTTGTAGCAGCTGGCTCTCAGGATGAACAATCCAGTCCCAGGACAGCCAAGTTCCCTTCCCTGGTGAGAATTAACCCAGTCCCTCAAGACTGCCATTAACCCCTTTCCAAGGTCAGAGCCCCTAGGAGCCAAACACCTCTTAAAGGTCCCACTACCTCTCAACACTGTTATGCCAGGGACCAAACTTCAACATGAGTATTGAAGGGAACAAATCACACCCAAACCACAGTAGGCCCAAGGCTGAGCATGCAAGTGGTCTCTCGAAGCAATAGAGCAAGACAAGGAAGCGGGTTCTCCTCTGTGGCCTCCAGAAGAAGCACCTCCCTGCCTACACTTTGGTATTTGATTTCTCACCTCTAGAGAAGTTCAACAAAAAATGCACATTGCTTTAAGCTACTAAAAGTGGGAACTTGTTACAGCAGCCATAGGAAACAAATTCAACACTGTACCCTTGTGTAAAGCCTCTCAACACTTTCCCCCTCCATTACATTTTCAGTCTCACTGCATTGTCCCCAATTCACTTCTGGAATCCAAGCCTTTCTGCCCCCTGCAGACTTGAGCACTTGCACCCAGACAGGTATGTTATCATTCTCTTCATTCTGCCATTCTCTCTCTCTTTCTCTCTCTCTCTCTCTCTCTCTCTCTCTCTCTCTCTGTTTCCACCAGGAGATGGACAGCCCCCTCTATCCCAAGCCCCCTGCCATGATGTACTGACTTGCCACAGACCAACCATGAACTGAAATCTCTAAAACCACAAGCCAAAATAAACCTTTTCCCTTATTAAATTGATTATCTCAAATATTTTGTCACAGTGACAGAAAGCTGGCTAACACAGAAATAAAATAATGCTATGTCTTATTTTGGTTGCTAGAGGAAGCTGGGGACAGGAGACTGACCCTGTTGTGCACCACACCTCAGGCCAGGAGCCCTGAGGGGCAAGGCCAGGTCACATGCATCCTGTATCTCTCTTCGTCCAGAAAATGTGGGTGTGCAAATTCCCTGGTTGTGTTCTCACACCTGAAGGTGAAAGGTTGGCCAAAGGTCACAGCAACAAAGGCCAGAGACTGGACTAACAGAGTTAGGTGCCATGAATATCCCTTAGGGGAGAATTCTTCCATAATTAGGGACCATTTCACCCAAAAGGACTAAGCCAATGCAAGATTAAGTTCAGCCAGAGCTAGGTAAATAGAACCTGTGCTGGTTTACAATTTTTTAAAAAGTACGTTTGACCTAAATCTATGCTTTTTCCTGTCTCAGGGGTCTGGAAGACCTTATCCTAAAAGTAAGTTTTAGGACAGGCTGTAATTGAGGTCTCATATTTGTATACTTCACTACCTCTCACAAGCCTTTTCCAAGTATTTTGGGGCCAAATGAAAGACTGAGTGAGTGAATGGATGGATGGATGGATGGATGGATGGCTAAGACGATCTTCTCAGAGCCCCAGAAGTCAGGGATGCGAGCCAGTTTTAAGGAGATTGTCCAGGGTCAATGATCTGGGAATAAGAGCAAGGACAACTGGTTGACTTCAGGAAACAAGGCAGAGCAGGGCTTACAATTACTTTAGCTCTTGGATCCAAGTGGTAAGTTCAAAATCTCCAAAATGTGATCCCGATGTATATCTAAAATGTACCAGTACAATTAAAAAGAAAAGAAAAAAATTTCTGAAAGTTCTCAAGGCTTCAGAACTCCAGAAAAATCCTGAATGTCTATATCTAGATACAGATAGATAGACAGACAGGCAGGCAGGCAGGCAGGCAGGCAGGCAGAGAGATAAATAGATAGATTTTTTTAAAATATGAAGATGGAAAAAAAACCCCTTTAGGCGAGTTTGGGGCTGAGCTGTTCTGCCCGACTGAAAAGTAGCAAGGAACCTCCTGGGGGGGCAGCTGTGTTGACCAGTGTACCACCAGCAAGCAAGGAGCACCCTGGCAAGGAGAAGGGTACTTGAAAGGCCTCAGAGTCCAACACAGGGGCTGGTTTCTAGGCTGGCTTTGACGACCGGCAGGGAGAGTCGGTCTGCAGGCAGAGGGCCGGGAGCGGCAAGAAGGAAGTGGAGGGAAAACGTCCTCAGGGCTAAGGACACTTTCCCTGCCAGGGGAAGGGAGACTCAGAGCGACTGTCAGCCTCTAAGAGGGAGAATGGGAGGACCGGAAGAAGGAAGAAGGGGTGGGGAAGAAGCGTCCCCGCAAAATAAGACTCCTAGAACCCCTGCATAGTAATCTACTGCATGACTTACGCTACCCAACTTCTTCCCCAAACCTCAACAGCCCCAGCTGCCTGTGTGTCACAGGGGAAATAACTGACCAAAACAAAAAAATCCTCACGATTCAGGCCTCACTCGCCCAAAAGACTGATTTAAAATCTTAAACACGCACACATCTAGCAATAAATGGAGTTATTAAAATAATAACAACCATGAAGACGACAAAGATTCTCCTGTGAGGGGGGCCGGGGATTGAGCTCAGTGGTTCCGGCGCCTGCCTCGCAAGTGCAAGGGCCCGAGTTCCATCCCTGGTACCAAGAAAGAAAGAAAAAAAAAAAAGATTCTTCTGTGGGATAATCAAGGAGTGATGGTCACTGCCTTGCAAGGGCTCCTCTCCGTACACTGTGGGTGCCTACCGTGGCAGGAGGGCTTTATGGAGTCTCTTAAAGCATGTGTGGAATTGGGTGGGAGCCGCAGCAGGCAGCTGCATCCCAGGAAGGCAAGGCTGGGTATTATAATGAGGGTGACTCCTGAGAGAAACTGTTAACAGTGAACTTGAGGGAAAAGAGCAGGCTCAGAGAAGATGGTTAATAGCAAGCTGAAGGGCAAAGGAGAAGCTCGCCCTGCAGAAGGAGCTTCAGGCTAATACAGACACCGTGAGGAAGGGCAGAGGTCTCCCTGCCTCTGAACACAAAACCCAAGTAGTATCCTACTCGGAGGCAAATTGGAGACTGTTAAGCAGAAAGTATCCATTATTGAGACCAGCCTTTAGAAACTGCTCGCGTTATCAGAAACTAATGAAACAGAAGAGTCTCTCTCCTCCCCTACTCCCTTCACCATCACTAATGAAAGGAACTGAGAAATAAAATAAAAGATCCTGAGCATTTGAGGCGGGGGTGGGGAGACAGACGTCCGGACTCACGAAGAGAAGAGACTTCTGCATTTGAAGACAGACTCCTACAGGTAAGACCGGGGGCAAGAGTTTCCAATTACAGGAAAAGGCGAGACTGGCAGAGAAGATATGAAATATCGTATTTGTGTTTGTTCGGTACCGAAAATGAGGATCTTCCTACCTCAAGGACAGCTTTCACAGAATGCAGAATGCACCGTGAGGGACAGTGGCATCTCTCCGAGGGTTCACAGAGCACCCCGAACGAGTGCACCGCACCGCACCACGGACAGCCCTAGTCCACATCCCATCCTACACTACAGTGAGGACCCCCAATAAAACGCACATCAAGGGGTCAGCCAGGGTGGGGCCCCGGCACTGCAGAGCATGAACACCCAGGGAAGCATCTCTTTTGCTTTTTCTTTTTTGGGTCCCACACATACTAGTCAAGCTCTCTCCCAATTGTCTCCATTTCTCATCAGAAACCACTGCATTCCTCCTGCCTCCATTTTGTCTGCTCCTTCACCAGAGTCCACGCTGCATTCTGCAAAACGACCACACTCTCTGCCCTTCTGGCTGCCCCAGGGCGGGCTTGGTCGTGTCTGAGGCTGACTTTGGTTTGCCCTGCTGCTTTCTCTGAACAACCCAGCTCAGTACTTACCCATCCCACAATCGTTCAGTGTAAATAATAACAAATGCTGGCGAGGCTTGGAGAGGGGTACTTTTCTACACTGCTGGTGGGATGTAAACCCCACAAACCATTAGTACAACCACTGTGGAAATCAGTATGGAAATTTCTCAGAAAACTGAAATTAGAAATTCCACTCTAAGTATCTTCTCAAAAGTAATAAAGACGTCATAGTGGAGTGATACATACTCACGTGCTGTGGCTTATATGTAGATGTCCTCCCAATGCTTCATATGCTCATAAGTGGTGCTTTTAGAAGTGACTGGATCATAGGTGTGTGATATTGCAGTAGTTCACTGATTGGTTTGACACAGTTCTGGGTGTGGATGATGGACTTACTGAAGAGGGAAGACCCACCCTGGGTGTCTTTGGTCCCAACCATTAGGATTATAGCCTGGATGGAGTAAAAAGGGAAGGAAGAAGAAAGCCTTGCTGCTTCCTGCCTGCCACACCATGGACTGTTTCTTCTCTGCCATGTTGCTCTATCTTGGAACTGGCCAACTGTGGACTGAAATCTCTACAAACTGTGAGCTAAAATGAACCTTTCCTCCTTTAACTTGTGGGTGTCAGGTATTGTGTCCCAGCAATGAGAAAGTAACTAAGATACTATGTTTATAGCAGCACAGCTTATAATAGCTAAATCTTGGAAATGGTCTACATGTCTGGCAACAAATGAATGGATAAAGAAAATGTAGTATTTATACATAATAGAGTAATACTGGGCATAAAGAAGGATAAACTTGAGCCATTTGGAGGAAAATGGATGCACCTTGAGACCATAATGTTAAGTGGAATAAATCAGGCACACAAGCTTAAATATTATACTGTTCCTCTTACATGAGAACCCCAAAGTATAAATAAAACCCAAAACCCAAAGTACAAATAAATTAAATTTTAAAAGTATAGGGCCGGGGATTTAGCTCAGTGGTTCTGGCACCTGCCTTGCAAGCGCAAGGTCCAGAGTTCGATTCCTGGTACCAAAAAAAAAAAAAAAAAGTATAAAATTAAATAGACAAAGAACAAAATAAAAGATAGATGATAGGAAAGACAGAGATAGATCTTTTGCAAAAGGGAGGGGACAGGAATGAAAACAGAATTAAGCTGTGTTGTGTACATTTACCAACTCCCCATGAGGAATGTAATCATTATGTACTACAAGCTAATTAAAAATACTAATTACTAATTAAAAGGACTAATTAAAAATAAAAGTTGAAAATGTCTCTCTTCCATGACTCAAATCCATGGTCACACACTTGGGTTTCGTGGTCCACTTTTTCTGCTCTGTGCTCTTGCTCCTCTCTACCTGTGTAAATACCACGGCATTTAAACTCACCTCCTTTTTTACAGCCTTATTGAACTTTATTTTAACACTGTATCACCCAGTGTAATTGTATACAGTTCAGGGGCATTTAGTATATTTGTAATATTATGCAAACACTGTCACTAATTCCAGAGTATTTTCATCAACTCCCCCTGCCCCAAAGCCTTAGATCCACTTACAGTAATTCCATTTTCCCTCCCCAACCCCCGTCCACCCTTACCCACCCTACTCCCTGGTAACCACGAATACGCTTTTCTTATTCTGTGGATACTTTTCTTTCATTTTATATAAGTGGGATCATAGAATATGTGTTCTTCTGTGGCTGGCTTCTTTCACTTAGTTTTCAAAATTCATTCATGTGTTAGCATGTTCCAAGACTTCATTCTTTTCTATTGGTGAATTCTAGAATCCACTATATGGATCTGCCTCATTGGTGGACATTTGCATTGCTCCCATTTTTTTGCCTATTGTGAACAATGCTGCTATAATACTCATGTACAAGTTTCCTGCGTGCCCACATTTTTGTTTTTCTTGGAGTGTAATTTTTGGGTCATAGAGTAATTCCATGTTTAATATATTGAGGAAGTGCCAGATTTCTTTTTTCTGAAGTGGTTGCACCATTTTACATTCCTCCTAGCAAGTATGAGGGTCTAATTTTTCCACATCCTTGTCAATATTTGTTTTTGTCTAAGATCCTCTTTTAACAAGAAACACACATATTATCCAAACTGTTAATCTTTTACTGTGAGTCAGTATCTGCTCTTAGTGTCCTCTCTATAGGTTGTCCTGTTTCATCTTTACAAGACCCTGAGAAGCAAATACCATGTTCTTCATTTCCCAAATGAGAAAACTAAGAATCAAGATTTAGCGACTAGGCAAAGATAATGGCAGTGGGGCAGGACTTCCTCCCTGTTTGCCTCCAAAGCCCTCTTTCAAATACTACCCCAAACATCTTCCATGGTCAACCTTCCAAGCCAAGCCCAGACCCAGCAATCATTTCTTTTTTGGGAATGTGAGCAGGTCATGGTTTGCCCACCACCACAAATTGCTCTCTAGTTATTTCCTGTATAAAATATCATTTCCCTGACTAGACGTAAACACTTCATTGGCTGGAATTCTTCTCGCTTTTGTTACTTGGGAAATAAAATGCTTAATAGACACTCAGTGGGTGGACAAAATTTTTTGAGAGTCTGACATGCTGTGTGTTCTTGTTTCTGCAGGTGGGGGTATACCAAAGAACCACGTTTTCCTTTTCAGTTTGTTTCCATGATGTTTGAGTCAAGGAAGAAGGTATAGATGTGACAGTGCTCACATCCAAACTTGCATGACCTCTAAACAACTAGAAATCAGTGTTTCAGAGTATTACCTCTTTTTTTTTTTTTTTTGGTACCGATGATCGAACTCGGGTCTTTGCACTTGCAGAGCAGGTGGCCGAACCACTGAGCTAAATCCCCGGCCCCATATTGCCTCTTTTTTTTAAGTGAGGCTTTATGATAACAACAATGACAACAACAACAACAACAATAATAATAATAATAATTTGGCTTTTTCTTGAAATCCAAGATATTCACAAATACACCATACATACCTACACATAAGTACAATCACATGCATTTTTGCATGTATATTGCATACTCTCTGATGTGTTTTACTATCTCCATTCTATGCATAAGCCCACTGATGCTCAAATGGTTCATGAAACCAAGGTTGACAGTCAATAAGTGGCACCTCAGGCTCTGATCTGATGCTCTTTCACTACACCAGCCCAGCTCCATCACATGTTCTAGAAGGGCCATTTAGCTCGGCCATGGGTACCATTAGCCTGTCCTTGTATCTTTTCTCAGCATCTCCCTGTGGCCACCACAGCCTGCCCACCCAGTCTAGATGAGCATAACCCAGGCCTGCATCCCCATCCTACAGCTTTCATACCTGCACATTTCCACAAGTAAAGAGGCAAGTTTCACAAACACATTTTGGAATATAGAGCAGATGTCATTTGGATTCATAGGCTGGAAATTCAGGTTTTCAAGTGATGTACTAAGACTGGTTGGTACTCAAATAAACTCCTAAACTATGTTCAGCCTCAATGGATTGCAAAATGTCACCCACAAAACCCTGTAGGGAAAAACATAGATTCCACTAGTTAAAAAGGATCAGCTTGATCATGTTCTCATTAGTTACATCTCTTAGGCAAATCTGAATGAGCATCATAGAAAGAAACTTCAACTAAACCTGGAGAGTTTGTTTTAATTCAGTGTGACATTCACTTAATCTCCCTTGGCTTCTGTTTCTTCTACTTTAAAAAAAAACCAAACTATTGGATTGAATCACATGATCAAAACTATTGGATTGGCTGAGGGTGTGGCTCAGTGGTAGAGCACCTGACCTGCCTACTGTGTGCTGGGCCCTGGGTTCAAGCTACAGAACCAACAAACAAAGCCTATTTTATTGGATGTATAACCACTCGAACTCCTTACATGATTACACATTGAAGTCCTCTTTAAATATAAAAATGAGCATTCTTTGTTTTATTTGTATGGTGCTAGGGTTTTATTTGCATGGTGCTATGTACGCATAATCTTGTGCATGCTAAGCCTGTGCTTCTCCATTGAGCTAATCCCCAGCCTGATAATAATGAGGAAGGGGTCTCTCCAGGAGCATGAGGCTCAAGGTCATGGCAATTTGTCTGGAATCTATGGGTGCACTTCGGGGGGACAAGAACTCCTTGGAAGGTGTGCAGAAAATCTGTGAGCTCAGATTGGAAGGAAACATGCAGCTTGGCTACAGGGTTCTACTGGATGGTCCTCTGACATTCAGCATATCCCTGTGGCCACAGACCATGTGTTCATGATCTCCTTGGAACTGCAGCTGAATCAGTAACACCCAGTCTACCCTCTCCTTACCCTTTCTGGACATGGACAAAGGATACAGACTCAGATGGCTCTCCCAAGACCCCTCTTCCAGGGCCCCCGGCCAGGTAAGCCAGTTGCTAGTCTGAGATGAGGTTCCCCTGCATCAGGAGGCCTCAGGACCTGGTTTGGATGCAGACTGCATGCCAGACTTCTTAAGCAAGCCACGCTAGGGCTGAGGGCCTAAAAGAATCTACAAGCGATTCTTACCCCATTCCAGGTACTCATTCTTCGTCTGAGAGCTAATGTTTGAGATTCATACCAGCCATCTACCCTTTGTGCATAATTGTAAGGAAATTCTAGGTTTGGCTTTAAAAATTATAATTGTCGCTCAGATTTTAGTTTTATTTCTACAGTTAAATGACAGATTGGACCTGAGAGCCAATTAACTAAACATATTCAGAGGAAGTATAAAAATAAGATCTATATTGGTTTCTCCCAGAAACAACTCTAATTTGAAAACAGCCTAAACACAAAGTTTAAACGGGATCCAACATCTAGACTAACATTTTGTTGTGGAGACGCAAGATACAGGGTGATCGTGGCACTGAGAAAGGCCTCTGAAGAAGGACACAGCAACACACACTCAGTGTCTCCTGGTCCTTGCACCATAGTGGGTGTGAGAGCAAAAAGGAAGAACTAGGTGGGTTTTAAACAGAAAATACACAATGTAAGGTAATGGGCAGGTGTGGTTTCAACAGAATCATGTAAATACAATGAGCCTTCCAATGAGTGGATTCTGAATTTTAGGAAATCTTAGATGTGTGTGTGTGTGTGTGTGTGTGTGTGTGTGTGTGTGTGTAGCATTCCCTCACTTTTTTTTTAGTTCTGGTACAATATACATAAAATTTAACATTTTCAGCACTTTTAAGCATGCAGTTTGATGGCCTCAGGCGCATTCATATTTTGGGACAGCACTCGCTGCCATCCGTCTTGAGAACTCGTTCACCTTCCCTAACTGAAACTCTGTACCCATTCAACACCAGCTCCTCATTGCTCCCAGCACCTGGCAGTCACCACTCCACTTGCTGAGTGCATCTGACACTTGCAGGTGCCTCACGTAAGTGGAACCCTACAGTTGTCCTTTTCTGTCTGGCTTGTTTAGCTTAGCATAGTGTTCTCAGGTTTCACCCACACTGTCACATGTATGAGAATCTCCTGGGCCGGGGATTTACCTCAGTGGTTCCAGAGCCTGCCTCACAAGAGCAACGTTCTGAGTTCGATCGTAGGTACAAAAAAAAAAAAAAAAAGAGAGAGAGAGAGAATCTTCTCTCTTTTAAAGGCAGAATAATATTCTGTTGTGAACAGGAACCACATCTAACATATTCATCGACCCACTGAGACACTTGGGTTGTCCTCACCTTTTGTCTATTGTGAATAATGCTGCCGGGAACATTGGTAAACAGATGTCTGATCATGTCTCTGCCCTTTTTTTTTCTGTCCTTTGAGCAGGGCTCTTAGATCATAAGGTACTCTCTCCAGGGCTTTGGAAACCTGTGACAGAAACACAAATGCCAAACTCATAAAATCAGCAAATGCTAAAGCCCACATTCCTTGCCTTACATAGCCGATAATAAGTCTGGTCTTTTTTCCCTTTCAAGTGCTTTTCTAATGTGTCCGTTGTACTTCATTCATCCATCCATTTGTTCAATAAACGAATCCTTTCATTCATTTATTCATTCATTCATTCGAGTATTTATTAAGTACCAACTGCGTGCCAATCATTGCATTAGACATAGAGACACTTTTGAGAAAAGGCAGATAGAGCTCCTACCATATGGAAGCAGATGGTAATCAAATCTCACAAATGTATCACTGCAACTCTCAAGGAAAAGTCCACTGAATGATGACTGCTTATAATGGAAAGCTCTGATGTGGTACCAACGGCAAGGAAGGAACATTGAAATTACTAGGCTAGGGAAGGGAAAAAGCAATGCCGGCTGTGCCAAGGCCCTGGGGCAGTGAGCCAAGCTGAAAGAGCTAAAGGAGGCCCACTGTAGCAGAGAAACCCAGAATGGAGAGAAAAGCCTCAAGAGGGTCCAGAGAGATGTCTGCAGCTCAAGCAGGACCTTGAGAGACTTGAGACTTTATTCCAAGAACAAGGAGAAACCACTAAGAAGATTTGTGGTTTACTGAGACCCTGTGCAGGGCCAGGCCCCTCTGTCAACAAGACCAGTCTACACCTCAGAAGCACCGGAAGGCATGGTCTCTGTCCCTGTACTGAGGTACACATCCTGTGGAGAGGAGACGCAGCCCTACACGGAGCACAGAGGTCCTGGGCAGCAGGTCAGATGAGCTCGTTCTCAACATTAGAAGCTGGTGGCTTGGATTCTTACTCTCTTCAAACTTCTCTTCTTAGCATCCAGACAACTCCTACATAGTGTTTAACTATGGACGTGGAATTTGCAATTCCACATCAGCAAGGTTCTTTGCCGACCATCAAGGACATTTGGAACTGAGCAAGCCAAGGGTAATCAGCTCTGGTGCTTTAGGCTATTGGACCACCCATGGGGCTTGGGAGAGATATTTCCCGTTCTCGAGAAATTGGTACAATTGGCTTTGTGTGCACCAGGATTTCCTCCCTGTCACCCTGGTGCATCACATAGCAGCCTCTGCCAGAGGCGACAAACCTGACGACCCAGAGCAGGGTCCCCTTTGATTTGGGAAAGCATGGATTCCCACAGAAACAGTGGGATTTGTTTTCATTGGCAGAAGCAATTTCCTTTTGTTCCCTCAGAAAGGAATGCATCTACCTGTGTACAGACTACATACAAAAGAGAGGACAAGCAGAGAAAACTGGGAGAATCTCACAACTTTAACTTAGACCTCCTCAAGATTTTTCTGTGCATCTGATATATAACTGGGCAGGGATGTGAGGTCTTCATCTTGTAAAAGGCTCAAGTTTAACTGAAGTTCAAGTTTGGAAGACAATGTGCGCACATGGGGAATATGTGCACCATCCCTTGGGATGGGAGCTGTGTTGTGTACACAGCTTGCCTGGAGGAGGTGGTACCAGCACACCCATTAGATTTTCCCCATCTAATTAGGAAACATACACAGCCAAGCTTCTCCCAAATTAAGAGCCAGCTAATTAGGCTGTGAAGACACTCCTCTAGAACTTGCTTTGTTGAGAGACACCTTTCATTTTGTCACCAACAGAGAATGAGGGGAGGCATCAAGAAGGAGAAGAAAGATGCATGCACAGTGAAAAGGGAGAAAGAGGAGGAAGAGGAAAGAGAAGAAGAATAAAAAAAAAGTGGGAATGGAGGATGATGGGATGAATGGGAGCCTTGTGTTCCACTCTCTCAAGTCCTAGCTGGGTCTCTCTGGGCTAGGAATGAAGCCAAGTTATCGGCATCACCACCCTTCACAGTGTAGCGGGGTTTTCCAGCATGGGAATGTGGGGAAAATATTTCCTGCTCCTTCCTCATCTTCCTGTTCTCCAGGTATCAAAAAAAAGGGTGGGCATGGGCAGTAGAAAAGCAGGACCTCGGGCCAGGGATTTAGCTCAGTGGTTCCACCACCTGCCTCACAAGCACAAGGTCCTGTGTTCAATCCCTGGTACCAAAAAAAAAAAAAAAAAAAAGCTGGACCTCACCAGGAATAAGGAATGCCTCTTAGGAAGGATAGCTATTCTTCCTAAGGGCCAAGGCCATCCCTTTCCTGCTCACTTAGAGGACAAAGGTCTTACTGAGTTTTCCAAAGACAGCTGCACTTGTTATCATTGTTATAGGTTTGACTAACCTGCCTAAGAATGAGCACGTTAACTCCTCCCAGGAACAAGGCTTTTCTAAAGAGAGGGCATCATAGGTCCCCAGGAGTCCTTCCAAGGGTGTGGTGTCACAGCAACGATAAGAGTCAAGGTCAAAGTTTTCACAGAAAAGAGAAAGAAGAAGAAGGAGAAAGAAGTCACTACTTTCATCATTCAAATGAGGAGATCGCTATCTCACGGGCAAAGAAATTGGTTGGCTTCTTTAGCCTGTTTCACTTGCTGAAAATTGGGGATAGAAAAATATACATAAAAAATATGAGAAAAGGAAAAAATGGAAACAAAGTCTCTGTAAATAGGGAAGGGTGGAGGGGGTGAAGGGAAGGCAGGGAAATGGGGAAAAAATAAGAACCAAGATACTCATGTAAAGGTACAAGATGCCAACGTTGAATGTAACTGTACTTTATACCTAAAATGTACCAATAAACTTAATGATAAATTTAAAAAAAGAAAAATATTATTTGAACATTTCATTCAGTTTATATAGCCTCCTGTTTGTTTGTTTGTTGTCTAGGAAGCCAAAGGTGGATACAGGAGAAAGTTGACAGCAAAACGACCGGTTATGAATAACACAACTACATGGTCTCATCCAGTGGGAAGACCACTGGTCTTGAAGTCAGAAGGCTCTTTCTCTGGCTCCATGACTTCAACGGAGTCACTGCTTCTCTTTCCTCATCTTCAGTGAGATAAGAACTATGGGGGAGAGGACCACGTGAAGTCATGGAGGTGACAGTGTTTGGTAAATTAAATAAATGTAACTCCCCTTTGTCTCAGTATGAATAGAGAAAGTAAGAAAGAGGGAATTATAACAGAAAAATAAAAGGACTGGGTAAATGTGAGAACACGCTAAGGCTAAACATGCTGCACATTAAAATACAGACTCAAATCTGTGTCAAGATGCTTTGAAATTAAACATGTTGTCTAAAAGTAAAGATCAACCTTGTCACCTTAATATACTATTTCTAGTTCTCCAGAGAATGACAATGAGAAGTTGTGACTTCTAAGAGCCCAACAAAGGAAAGCAAGCAATAGTTTCCAACACCGTCTAAGTGACGGGCCCTACCTAGTCCTACTCCCCGTGAACCTGAAGAGAAGTGGGCACCGTGAGCTTGTGTTTGTTCCTGAATTTGGTCATTACAATTTCCACTTTTTCTGAAGTTTCTACTATAGGCTTAATTCTTTCTAGATCAAGCACAAGGCAAAGCCTTCTCCAGCCCTTCATGATTCCCCCTGTTCCTCAAATGTACTTCTCAGAGAGCCACGATGCAGTCTGGAGCAGATGAGCTGCAGACGCCAGCACCCTTGAGTGTGAGGATGGCAGGCCAGACACCTGTCTGACAAAGCAAGCTCATGAAACAGTAACGGATGAGCCACAGAGGGAGCCCAGCTTTTAGGTTGAATTGGTTTTAAAATCAGAGAGGGATCCCCTTATAGGAAACAAAGGCGGAGGAAAGATATGTGTTCTTACCCTTTAACATCTAAAGGTTTATAAATGTATATATCCATTTCTGAAAAATAAAAGGCTACTGATAAAGGTATAACAAGTTACTCCGAGGCCAAAGGAAGTAGGCACTTAGGCTGAACGGATGGATCTAAGCATGTCTAGACCGCCACAAGAAACGAAGCAAGAAAACTGCACCAGTGGCTACATCCAACCCAACCCAAATCCCAAGATAAACTGAAAAGTAAAAGCAGAGCTTTTTCTTTCATGACCAAATAACCAGCTTAGTTCATTCTTTCACTAATTATTAGTTACCGTTTAATTAATTACTAGTTATTTCACCGGCTGAAAGCTGGTCCAGATTTTGCATTTTCAGGCTCAGGGTCACACCTACACAATGCCAAGCACACAGACTATGCCTAAAATACTGTCGAACACCCAACTGTGTTTTGCCTACACAACTGCAAGTCTCCAGATTCACTACGCATCTCATCGGCCCCAGGAGACCTAAGTGCTCACAGTGCAGGGAGGACGCTGCAGTGAACTGGCCGTCGCAGAGCAGGACATGGAAGATGCAGTGTCTCCCAGCTCACACTCAGACCAGCACGGAGCTCCAGGTTTCTGCACAGCTGCCCCATAAGCAGGGGTAGCTCGTTTGCTATGCATCATGGATTGGACACTAAGAGAGGAACCAAGGAACTAGTTGCTTTGTTTTGTTTTTCCCATATTGCACTTCTCCCCATCACCTATCTTTCCAGAGTTCAGTACTTGTATAACTAATTCATTTTTATTATGGCAAGACAGAAGAGAATTGGAGGACTGAAACTTTGTACCCATTAAACCCTAATGCCCATTCTTCCCTCCTTTAAGCCCCAAGTAACCACTTTTTTGTTATTGTTCTACCTGCTGTCTCTGTGGATTTGAATGGCTATTCTTTTTTTTTGGTACCGGAGATTGAACTCAGGTCCTTGCGCTTGCGCTTGCGCTTGCGCAGCAGGCGGTGAAACCACTGAGCTAAATCCCCGGCCTGAATGGCTATTCTAAGTGGCCCTTATAAGTGGAATCATATAGTGTCTGTCTTTTGATCCCCACTATATTTTGATATGGCCAGAAACTAAAAATAAGAGACAGCTAATCCCAAAGTATAATAAATAATACTAAAACAACATACCTACTATTGACCATTTTCCAAGCTCTAAGTTAAATGCTTTCTTCTTGACATTTTTCTTTACTGTAAAGATAAGTTTTAAATTATATATTTGTTGCAGACCAATGCTTTAGCCCCTCTTCTCCCTTCCCCAATTTTTTTTTTTCTTGGTATTGGGTATCGAACTTGGGACCTTGTGCTTGCGCGGCAGGCGCCGGAACCACTGAGCTAAATTTTTTAAAGTAGATTCTACTGTAGGAAGGAAGCCTGGGGAGATTCTCATCCCTCACCTTGGGGAAATAAGGAGTAGTAGGCCTATAATAATGTTTTACCTATTAAAATCTTCAGAAATAAATAAATAAATGGCTAATGAGTTGCTATCATTATCTTCTAAGCCTTTGCACGAAGCCATTCTTTTGTTTAGAGACATTAACAATTGGAAAATAAACAGATATACAGACTTTGTTTTCTCAGCAGGAGCTGCTGTGTGTTTGGTACAATGGATTTTTTTCTTTAAAAAAAATAAAGACATCTATTATCTACAAAGCAACCTTAGAGGGACAGATTGAGAGTTTCAGTTTAGAATGTCATATCTGACTGTCATAACCAGATGGTCCTTACGCAAAAGAAGTTCCCTACCATCAGTCATAATTTTCTTATCACTACCACCATTATTAATGTTATTATTACAAATAATCTCAAAACCATTTAAACCCCTATGCTGAGTAGTCCTGTGGATTTGATTCCCACTTCCCAGTAACCATTTTAACCATTTTAATCAGGCTTATATTCATTAAGACCCTAGAAAAGCTTTTCTCGCCTGATAACTTTAAGGAAAGTACACTGACTCTTGCTTCCGGTAGCAATTGGTTTATAGTAGTTCTTATTACAGTTTGAAGAGTAATCCATTTGTTTCTTATTTAATTATTTGATCAGGCTTTTTTGTTGTTCTTGTTCTTGGGTCACTTTTAAAATCATAGCATATTCTTGATACTTTTTTCTTTTAAATAAATAATATATTTTTTAACCATAGCATGATTCCATTGGATAAGTTTTATAGTGTTTTTTTTTCCAGGGGTGCAGCAGGGAAAGGTTTTTTAAAAATTGAAATATGACATCCATATCATTAGAGTTTTAAAGTTAGTAATATGCTTAAGGCGACTTTTTTATGGTTAGCAAAGCTGAGAGGTTCTGACACCCAACGGATGCACGAAGAGATAACTTACATAAATGTATATGGTGCCCCCGAGGTGCCTCAATTGTATTATGGGGTTTCTCATGAGCGGCCTTGTTCAGACAGTGAAACAGTGAAGCAAAGCTAAGTGGCTCTGAGCCGGATGGGCTGTGCATGGCACACGTTACACTGCAAATAGAGGTACGGTCAACGGCAGCCAGCTTCCTATGAGGCGCTGGAATGGGAAACAGTATCAGCCATCTAATGAAATGTTTGTCTTATTAAAAATGCTTCTTTCAAACAGCCACCACATAGCTTTAAAACAAACAGCCTACCAGATAACATAGAACAATCTGAAAATGATAAGGTCTAAAGCTTAGCAAAAGAGCACACATAAACTGGAGAATGTAGAAAATGGGGGATATGATCTGATTGATGGATTGGACTACTTCTTAGAGATTTGGATCAGCCTCAAAGTTCATTTTTCCCTATTTTCAAAACTGTATTTTCTTTCTTTTTTTTTTAATTTTGTTTTTAAAGTGCTTGCTGGTACTAATTTTGTAATTCCTGAAAGGCAAAAAGCAGATAATTATGAAGAAAGAGGTTCATGCCAGAATTCTAGTCAAGACTCACTTTTCACACAAGCAATTATACAAAATGCTTAATTAATTGTTTTATATGTGTGAGGCAGTCTTGTCAAAATCAAGGATCCTCAAAGAAACAGAAAGAAAGTAAAGCAGCATCACAAACATATGGGGTTTTTATAGCTAGGATGTAGCATCGAGAAAAATTTCCTTTCACCCTCTTATGTTCATGTAAAAAGGTGAGGGGTCTGTGTAATGAAAGAATAAAATGAGATTTAGTTATTATCTTATGAAAAAAGATCAGCCACAGAGACATCAATAACTTAGGGATTCCCATTGCATAGATACCACTCTGTGCTTTTAACTTAAATAGTAACAATTCACTGGGGACCATGTTATTTATTTATTTATTTATTTATTTATTTATTCATTTTTTGTACCGGGGATCGAACTCAGAATCTTGCACTGGCGAGGCAGGTGCTGGAACCACTGAGCTAAATCCCCAGCCCGACCATGTTATTTATTGAACAACCACTATAAGCCATAACGAGAATGACGCTGTCATTCACTGAGAACTTACTGTGGGTCAGGCGCAATTCTAAATACTTTCTACATAGTATTTCGTTTCATCTCAATCCTTCAACATAGAAATTTTTACTTCTATTCTAAGGCTAAAGAAACTCAGGACCTTATCACAAATAAAGCCAGCTGAATATGACTGTAACTTAATTGCAGTCCCCAAACCCACTTGCAATTATTCATTCAAAATATAGGTGATGATCCAGCAAGGACTTCAAATGCTGGTAACAAATACAGTTGCTTTGCATTTTTTCTCACTGATTTGCTTCCTTGTGGAGGAATGTATTTCTCTATTGAGTAAGACTACCAAAATTGGCAGTCAGGGTATCTAACTATGACGTGGTTTGATTTCTTCATTCATCTGCTGTGTTGCTTTATAATGTGAGATTGAAACTAGTGTCCCTATAGGACAACTAGAGAACAAACACTCATGAAAGACCAAATTGATTCAAATTGATTCAAGGGTCCATGCAGGGACTTGTGTGTTTTTATGACAGAATTATGGGTCACCTGAAAATGATGCCCATCAGCAAGCAGATCTGCAACCATTAGAAGATCCCAAAGGTGAGATGTTACCAACTCTTACATTGATGGTGATACATAACACTAAGATGTTTTCCAGAGGCTAATTATAAACAGGTGGTCGCTGGGGCTCAACTCCAGGAATCACAAACCCATTCTGTTTAAGCTCATTAATGCTTCTGCTGAAATCCAGGAAAATGTGCACATTCCACAGCATTATAGGGCATTTCAGGTTAGCTGATAAAAAACAGGTGATTTCCTTCTAAAAAATCAATTCAGGGAAAGAATAAAACAGCATAATTTGCCTTCCAATGCTGCAGAACCTCTCACGGATGGTAGTTACAGGTAGATGCTGATGAAGCAATGATGAACACCTGTGATTTAGTGACCATGAGGGGGACAGCATGGCAGCCTGGCATGGACAGTGCCGTCCACACAAGTCCAGGTTGAACCCAAGTAAATGATGCGTCTCTCATCTTCCTAAGGGAGAGTGCAATGGGATTTCTAAATCTGATCTTGGTATCTGACTGCTCCAGTGGAGGGCTCTTCAATTTCACATTTCATCTCAGCAACTAATGTCTACATCTTGTCAAATCGACACCAAGAATATACCGCAGGGCCACCCTGGACAAAACTGTGATGTTCTGTGGGAACTTGCGATTTGAAGGTTCGGTGACTACGATGTAACCAAATGAGCTGTCCTATGTTAGCATTAGAATCAGGACTGCTGCTCTCCTCTTATTTCCTCTTTCACAACGGCCAGAGAGCTAAACTTTTTCAGTGGAGCTCCTGGTTTCAATTCAAAATATCCTACCATTGGTTTTATGCCTTTAAACACTAGTGAACTTATTTTGACAGTGAAACATTGGATGACAAAAGCAGAGGTCTGTATTTATTTCCTCACTGTTTTCTTGCTGACAATTTTATTGCCATTGTGTTCTGTGCTGTTAATGGTGGTAAGGCTGCTGGTTATCACTTTAATTATTTATGGAAAGAAAAAGAGGTTACAAGGATTTTTAATATACTCTTTTCTCCAGCTTCTTTATGATTGGCAAAAAAATTAAACAGCATGGTAGAAATCACAAGACACAGAAGTTCACTTGCACAGGTATTAATTACATAAAACATACTTTGCAGTTGTTTTGTGATTGCTGGGGCTGATTGAAGTAAAGTCTTTTACATTTGTATCTCATCCTTGGCAAGAGAGGGAACTGGCTTTTCAGATGCCACTTCATTAGAGATCTATTTTAAAATTTAAAATAAGTTGTCTTCACCCTTAATTTGGAAGTTTTGAAGTTTACTCATCTCTTTATATTGCAGAACACAAAATGCAGTTTCAATAGAGTATTTTATACCTCCCAGTAAGTACATTCTAGACTATAACCTTTGATTCTGCACCCCTATCCGATATCCTCATCTTTGTGATCCCTTCAAAATGTGACAAAATTAAGATTCCTCCTATAATAAACTGAGAATTTATCTGTAGACTACATGCTACTGGAATTACCACTAATTCACTGCTCAACTGAAATGTGGGAGGCACTTTAACATATCAATGACTCAATCTTGAAAAAGAGCATCTTTTCAAAAAAGGTTATCATTCTAATATATTAAAACATCTTTACAAGGAGCATTCTAGAACGTGATCCATTTAAACGAATATCCCTTCAGAGCAGTTATCTTGGAAAGTAAAGCCCTTTTGTCACTCATGATTTCATTGATTAAACTATTTTGAGAACTGTCCCTATTCTGTTTAGAAACTAATAAGAAAATCTACTTTACTGTTTTTAGTCATGTATTTTTATGCCTCTCAACAGCATAAACCATCTTCATCATCCATTTATACCCCAGGCCTGAGACAAATTATTGTTGCTGTGTGCAAAAGTTAATCTCTCAACGAGTAAAGATGTGCCGCCATCAAGTATATTTAAAAGATCATGCTAAGGGATTTTAGGACAATCTCAGAAAAGGAATTCCAAAAGTATGGTCTAACCATGTCATCACAATTTTAGATGCCATGACAAGTTTGGAAGGTCGTGCTTTCCAGAGTCACCACTTACCTTTCTTCTAGTCCTGCATCTTGTGGCCTCTCCCCTGTCCACGTGGGGCTTTTCATCTTGGGCAGCCTGCTCTCCTTTCGTCGCATGTGAAGTGATGGTGAAGGGCCAGATACCTGCAAAGGAGCTTTCCAACTTTAACATTTTAGTTCAACCATGCACGGCTCTCCAGGTGACACACTTTTTGAAAAATGAAAAGTCACTTTAGGTCATAGCTTTATGGAACAGGTTGAACATCTCTAATCCAAACATCGGAAATGTTCTAAAATCTGAAACTTTTTGGGTGTCAACATGAGGCCACAAGTAGAAAGCTCCACACTATGAAATTTTGTTTCATGCATAAAATCATAAAATACATTGTATAAAGTTTCCTTCAGGCCATGTGACATATGAGACATAAATGAATTTCATATTTAGACTTGGGCCCCATTTCCAAGATATCTCATTATACATATGCAATCTTCCAAACTCTGGGAGAAAAAACTGAACTTCCCTGATTCCAAGCAGTTCAGGTAAGACATATTCAACCTGTATTAGATTGTCAGAAAAAATAACTGGGTATGTTTCTGCCACAGTCCATGTTCATGTTCTTCTAAATTTCTCCAATACTAACAGCGCCATTTAGGAGCAAGAACAAAGTTTTTACTCAGTTGATTTTAGCATTTTGTGCACATTTTAAAATTTTTATTGCAGTTCAGAGAATATCACTACAAGAATGTACAAAGAATAATGCGACTTTCTTTTGTGTTGTTCCACAAAGGCACGTTTTTCTTCCTCTAGGGCAGTGGTGTTCTCAAACCAGATACTCCTGTCCTATGAATTTGTTATATTTAAAGATATCTACTAACAGCACAACTGATTCTTCTTATGACATTAATCTCTCAAATCATTATAGCATTGATCTGGTAAGCTATATATTTTTAAAAGCCTGCCCTTGTCTTTTCTGCTAATATTGCAGCAGCTGCTTACCTTAAAGATAACATAATGGTTAAAAAAAATACTTCCTGGGAAATGCTGCCAGTTACAGGTATTTGCAAGCCAGGGCTATTCAGGGTTTTCCTCCCCCCACACACCTCTTTTTAGTATCCATGGCCTTACAACCTGGTTTTTTGGAGGTTTTTTTAAAGAAATGTCAGCAAAGTCTTTGAATTAATGAACTGCGAAGTGCTCAAAAACACACTATTTCAAAAAGTATCCTGCAAGGATATAATATTAATGGGAGGTGACCCTTGAGTTTATAACCAAATCTCTCCCCCTAGCTAAAAAGAATTAAGATAACAAGTGGCTCAGGGACAAGCTCTTTGAACAAAGACCTGGAAAGGAAGAAGTGATGAGGAGCAGGGGAGGTCATAACTAGAGCAGCAAGCTGGGGAAATGTGTTTATGTTAGAGTCTTGGGCTCTGCGGAGCACTTCCGGCAAATACTGGACTTAAGACCCCTCCACCCCCTCTCATGAAAGATACCAGGTGGAAGGAAGCAAAGAGAAGGAAGGAGGAGAGGTATGTTCAGAATGTTGATCAAATAAACCTAAATGGTAGGTCCCTACCTACCTAATGTTAGGCTTGGTTTTCTTTTAATTTTGCCATTTGAAAAAATGCGGTGTAACTCCTTCAATCTTTTTACAATTCTGCATGGTTGAACATTTGAAATGAGTTTGTGTATCACCCCCAGGCGCTGATTCAGACTTGATTGGGGCAAAGCAGACTGCATGTGCTTATTTTTATCCACGTCATTTGGGACGCTGTGTCGCCAAAGGAACCAAAAATGTGTTGCTTTATTGCCAAATTATCACCTATGCTTTGATCAGACAGGGTGGTGATCCTCATCAACAAGTTGTGCGACCTTCGAGTAACAGCAATGTCAGGTCAACTTGAGAAAGCGAAGCGAGAGCCCTAAACACAAATAAAAAGAAACAACCAACAATCCTTATAATTATCATCATCTGCTGCTTTTCCCTCTTTTGGCAAAGAAACACTCCATCCATTTGCAGAAATCGCCCGCGGAAACGTTACATCAAAACTAATCACAACGATTAAAATCAGCCTTTCTGGGCAAGAGGAGGGTGAAAAGCAAGTTGGAGGCTGGAATGAGACTGTTTTTCCAACAAAAAAAAATCATCTTATATGTATATTTCTCTATACGTATATGAGGAGCTTTATTTTTTTGAAGGAGATCAATTGTCTGCCCTGTGATCAGTTAATTTGATTTAAGTTTTATTTTGGAGATTGATTTAGACTGGAGGTAGAGGCATGAGCTAATTGTATCCTGATCCTTGCCTTGAGGGGTTTCGAAGCCCTGGAGCAACTCTTCTCTGTATTTTGTTCTGTCTACCTTAGCCAAGCTATTGCATTTCTGTCTGGTGTGGCGAGCCGAGCAGATCGCTGGGAGAGAAATCGGAAAAGGGGGGAGAGGAAAAGGAAAAGGGGACTTGGAGAGAGACTTTGTGCTTCAATGTTTCAGGTAAGATCTGACGGTTTGGGTTTGTTATTATTTGCTAAGGAGGGTATGGCTGGGACTTTGGGCGCAACTCGCGTTTACGCATGTGCCAGGCACGGGGCGAGAGCGCGGCACACTCGCGCACACACAGCCCGCCGCGGCGGGAGGCTCGCGATCCGCTCGGACCCGCGGCCGCCGCCGCCTCCTCCGGAACTGTTCCACCGCTCTCGCCTCTCTTTCTCCTCGGGAGCGGGGTGCGCGCGCGGCCGAGGGCCCGGAGTCCGTGCGCCGGGGCCAGGATCCGGATCTCCGGGCCGGGCTCGGGACCTGGAAGCGGAGTCGCCGCGGCTCCAGGAGCAGCGCCCGCGCCCCGCGCCGCCTTTCTCCCCGGGCAGCCCCGCGCCCGCGCCCCGGACCCCGAACGCCGGACCCCAAGCCGAGCCGAGCGCTGTGCCCTGCGGGGCGCCCGGGGCGGGGCGCCAGCTGCTACCCCAATGGGGGGGGCGCGGCCCCGGCCCCGGCCCCAGGGGGAGGCGCCATTGTGGCCGCCGAGCGAGTGGCGCCCGGGGCGGCTTTGCTCCGGAGCCCCGGCCTCGCCAAGCCGCTGCCCTTTGTGCGCCGCGGCCAGTTCCCAGCGCGGTCCTTGTCCGTTTCCAGCCGGGCTGAGCCCGACTCGCTGCCTCCGCCCGCCCGGGCGCCTTTAAAGCCCCCTCCCACCCCTCCCAGCCCCAGACCACCCCCCTTCCCGGTGCAAATGTTGCATTTATTTTTAAAAAGCCCTCGTTCCTCCCTCTTCCTCCCACCGTCCCCGACAAAGGGCACGGGCGCCGGGTCGGAGAGGTGGGCGCCGCAGGTAACGGCTAGGTTCGGCGCCGCCCGCCCGCAGCGCCCTGCCGGGCCGCGTCCTTCCCTCCCCTCCGGCGGCCACGATTCCCTTAAAGGGCCAGGGCTCCCGGCTGCCTCCCGCCTGCTCCCTCGGAAGCGGCGTTCGGGGCGCAGAGGTGGGCGGGGGTTGCAGTTCGGCTCCTTCCTGACCTCCTTCCCCACCCGGCCCGCCGCCCCCCGGTGGAAATGTGAAGTGTGCTTCCTCTCCTGCCCCCAAGAGGGACCTGGCTGAAAAATAAAGAATCCGCGCCTCCTGGGAAAAGAACGGGGTGGGGGGCGCGCGCCGGTGGTGGATTCGCGTTTAAGTGAGCTGGAGCCCCCAGAAAGCCGGCAAGAGGAAGCCATCCCCGGGTGCGGGGTCCCTTACCTGGACGCGAGCTCTGCGCGGCCGCCCCGCGTACGCAACTGCCAGCTACCGCGGGTCGAATGTCTGCCTTTGTGCTTTCGAACACTTACACTGTCGTGGAAATGATTTTCCGGCATAAAAACGTTTTCACCGTGACTGTGCTCCGGGGGCCGGCTGGGCGGGAGCCAACTAAGTTAGCAAAGTTGCACCGGGGCCGTCGGCTTTGTACGTGGAGACCAGTACGCAGGAACTGTCCAGTGTGCTCCTGGCCCTGGCCTCCTCGCTAAGCGGTGCCCAGCAGTAGGCAGAAGTAATTTGGTACAAATGCTGCACTGCCTTTTAGATCGTAGACCTCTCTGCTTTCGAGCAAATCTTTGTGTGCTTGCAGGCGTGTGTGTGTGTGCGTGTGTGCGTGTGTGTGTGTGTGTGTCCTTGTGGTACTGGGAGAGACATAACAGTTTAACATACTCATTCTTTAAGAAACGTTTGCCTTCTGTTTTCAATCAACTAAGCTGGCAGCTACAGATACAAGTTTATTTGAGAATACCCTCTGGGTACCAAGCATGCTTGGATTGTTTTAGCAAATTAAAAATGAGCAAAATGCTTTTACCTTCTCAGCAGTAGACTCCTTAAGAGACCTCCTGTTTTGTGTGCAAGTGTGTGCGTTTTAGAGAAACATTTTCTGAGTCTATCTCAAATGTATTTTTAATGTGGAAAAGGAGAAAATAAAGGATTTTTAATGGCTGAGGCTGGTGCCATAGAATGATTCATTAAATCTGATTCTACATCAAGGAATTCACCTGCATTATCTAGGAAACTGTGGAAACTAATAGCTAGCCTACTTGGTGAATTTAAAACAGTAGTGGATCCATTTGTCTCCGGGAGAATGGGCAAGACGCCAATTTCCTCCTCGTGTTTCTATTTGGGTGGCATTTGGCTTATGAGGAGGGGCTGGTGTTTAGGAGGCTGAACTCTGACTGTGAGCATTCTGAGCATTAAACTCCTCCGGAATCCCGCTGCTGCCTGCATGGAAAGAATGATTAGCGATTGTCAGTGAGGACTGTAAGTTAAATGTCTACTAATCAGGTTGCAGAGGTGACCACGGAACTTTAAAACTTTGCATCACAAGAAAACTTCATTGAGTTAGGCTTTTGTTTATAGGAAGACAGTACCTAACAAGGCAAAAATGCCATACGTTTGCTGGGAAGAAGTGTTTCAATGAATGGCATGTGAATGCTAGTTATGAAGATCTCCCACCACAGTATGCAGGGTGACTGCAGTGATTTTGCTGTATTAATTATGCCCGAAGCACAATATAAAGTTCTCTAACACACGCTAGAGGTCTCTCTTCTAGCTCTACGATTTTCCTGTTTGTAATTCTTTGCCAGGGCTTGCATAGTAGGGCTGCTCAATAATGGCTGAAATTGTGATTTACTGACCAACTTCATCTGATGTGAGTTATTTATTTGGGGGTGAGTATTCAGCAATTATTGCACAGATTATATCCTGCCCAACTCCTGGGAAAGTAACCACAATTAGACTTCTGCTAGATAATGAAAACATTAATTCAATATGCATCAAATGATGCATTATGGACTTGCTGGAGTCAAGTTATTCATCAACGAAATTTATTTTAAATGTGAGAGTAATTAGGGAGAGATGTATTAATCCGAGAACTTTCTGAAATGAAATTTCCATTTGGCTCTGTGTTTAACAATAACAGTTGTTCACACAAATGCTTTATGTCTTTGTGTTCTAAAAGCAAAGTGATTGTTCTGTAATTCTGAAAAATGAAGTTTTCGACTAAGGTCTTTTTCCCTTTACATTGCTTTTGAGTCACTCAAAAGATGCTTGTGAACCATTTGTTCACTGAGGCTTTAGTTCTTTACTGGCTGCATTTCTGAACCTTGTTTTGGACTGCAATTTAAAATTTCCCAAGCAAATGGAGCATTTATTTTTTCCATCTCTAGGATGAACCCTCTTGGGAATAAAAGTGAGAGTGTGGGATGCAAGCGTTGTGTGCTCAGTTTCATGGCTTACTCATGCTAAAGTGAGAAACAACTCATTTTTCCTGGCTTCCCATTCATAAAAATAAATGTGCTACATGTATGTTGATGAGTTTTGTTTGCAATAACTGCAAAAAGGTAGAACAGATTATCTCTTATGAAACAAATATTTATTTGTCCCTCCTGTATGGGAAGCACTGTGTTAGATGCTGGAGACATGATGTTGAGAAGAAGTATTCAGAGTTCCCATATCCCTGGGTTTATGATTAGAGAGCCAGGTATTAATTGAATAAATGAACATCTGACAGATTAGTGCTTTGAAGGATAGGGAATGTAGGACTCAGTGTGAACCAAACAGCAGCAAAATGGCCAAGACTGGGGTGAGGTTCCAGGGAAAGTGCTGCCCTCTGAGATCTAAGTGACAGAGATGCAGGGCAATAGATAGAGAACAGAGACAGTACTAGGTAGAGGGGTGAGGGAACAGCCTTTGCCAAGCTGGGAGTGGTGGAGCAAAGGCTGACGCTGGAGTTGAGAGAGGGAGATGGAAGGGACCAGAGAGTAGGCAGGGGGACAGGCACCTATCTTCACCCTCAGAGTGACATGGAGGGGAGACCTGGAGAAGGGGAGCCGTGACAGTGAGATTTGTACATAGAAAGAGCAACTCTGGAGGCACAAAGAGATGGGATTAGAGGAACCCAGGGTGGCTAAAGTGTAGCCCTGGGAAGGTTCTTAGCATCACCCAGTCAGGAGCAGATACAGCCCTGGCTAGGTTAACGGCAGTGGGAGGGACACAGTGACAGAAGGGTTTGAGAGCTGTTTAGAAGGTAAGATTTGCACAACCTAGGAAAGGATTGGCTGGGTCGACTGAGAAGAGAGGAGTGTCAAGTGGATGCCTGAGTTCTGAGCACATTAATCAAGTCAACCTTGGGATCGGAAAGGCTGGATGGGCTTCGTGGCTTTCCCTTCATTTCTAGTATTCACAACGTGCAGCAATGATAAACCTCATTCACTTCCAGTTTAACTGAATTCACAGAGGAAACCAGAGCATCTGGCTGTTCTGAAATTGCTCCGTTTGGTCCGTCAGTACTCGTGAATGCATCAGGTACTCATCTGCCTGCCCTTCTCACCCTGCGATCCCAGATCCCTCTCTTAGGACCTGCACTGTGACGTTCCATTCATCCCACTCTAGCTAAGTTCAGATTCATCACGGAAATAGCCCTGTCCTTAACCCACTGGAACAAAATCAAGAGTCTATCATAATACAAATTAATTGCGTTAAAATATTATGAAAGTGTTAAATTACTATAAAAATTACTGTTCAACTAAAAGCTCATTTCCATCAACTAACTGACATAATTATTTCAAGTTGCTCACTGAAAAAAAAAAATCTAAGGACTTAAAAGTCCTTAGACCAACAGTCTCCCAGTTAGATTTTAGACCCTACTGTCCATCAAGTGTCTCTAACTTTCTCACAGCGACATTGTCATACTTTTCTTAGATGAACACTGAGTTTTGTATTTCTCATACCTGTCCATTCTTTGCATTTCTTCTTATTTCTCCAAAACTTGTTTCCACCACCATGCATAACAATCAGGAAATAATTTTCCCCAATATGTTACTCACCACCAAAATAACATTAGTTGATGAGGAGTTGATTGATTTAATATAGTCTAAAGCTGGGCATTTTTTTTCTTTCAACATCAAAATTTATTAAGAAGAAAATTTCAGTAAAAGAAATCTGCCATAAAGGTTTTATAATAGTTCTTCCCTTTCTGGTTGTATTCCTTCCAGGGAATTCCAGGTTGGAGCTCCTTCCAGGAAATTCAGGTTCCAGTTATTTCCAAGAAACAATGTGAATGAATACCACTCTGCATGGTGGTTTGATACACAAATGTGATTCTGTAAGGGTCTTTTCTTGGTGGTTCTCATGTGGGTAGCCTAGACGACAAGCACCAGTTGGGGAAAAAAATCCTTCATTCTAGCCAAGTCACCAGGGGAACCATTTCTTCTATAAAAACAAGAGCAATAATATCTCTCCAACCTGCCTTATATGTTTTGTTAAGAGGAAGAATAAGAGTACATTTGTCAGACCCGTGGGCACATAGGTGGTGTTTGGTGTGCCACAGGGTAGGATCTTGGGAGGTACCACCCCAGTCCTGGTCCATGCTACTTGACTGCTCAGTCCCTCCATCCACATCCATCCTACCATATGCACCTGCTCTGAGCCTCTTGGCACTGGTTATATCCCTGGTAAGATTTAGAGGAGCAAGTAACTGTGGTCAGTCCCCGATGTCTCACCAAATCTCCCTTCTCTCCAAAGAACACTGAGAGGCAAAATATTATCATATGCCCATCTGACAGGAGAAAGAACTGAGGACTGGGAAGGCTATGTGACTTGTCCAAGGTCCAAGACTGGGCTCCTGGCAGAGCAGGGATTCTGGCCCAGCAGGCAACCACCAGACCCCACTGCTGGCTGTTCTACTGCACCAAGTACCCCTGGAGCTCTCTCTGCCCAGTCCATAGCTCACAGATACTCAGCAGAGTACTCTTCTGCTGTCCCAGCAACTTCATTCTCTCCCCTCCTCATCTTCCCTTCCCCCTCTACCACCCTAAGGGCCACTCCACCAACACCAGCACCCTACTCTTACACTGAGAGAAATTAAAAATGGTTGGAGATTGTTGGGATCAGCACATTGGAGTTGTCTTTCAGCTCTTTCTGAGCAAATCTATTACTCACTCATACTCTGTTCTGCCAACCAAGATTTGGATTCATTTTCTATGCAATGAAAACCGACAGTTCAGCCCTTGCTGCCCACACCGAGGCTTCTATTAAGAAGAAGACTTATGAGCTGAAGAGAATGTTAACTAGACACATTTCAAATACTTGCTAGAGGAAGGGATAGTCTTCCTGATAAATCTTTCCCAAGCATGTCTTGCTAGCATCACTTCCCATTTTCATAGCACTTGCACTTTGCTACAGGTTTTTAGCCAGTAGAACAGAAAATGAGTCTCAAACAAAAGCCAAAGACTCTCTGGATGAAAATAAAAAGGCTGCATTGGTCCATAGTGTTCACAGTTTTCTCCCAAACCCATCCACTCCACCAACTCATCCTCAAATCTCCCTCCATCTAGTTCTGGTTTGTTTATATTACTTAATATTACTAAGCCTCCATTTTCTGAAGTGTAAAATGGTTTTCTGAACTGTAAGTGAGAAAACAATGTGAGCTAATAATAAGTGGGACAGTGACAGCCTTGGTTGTGTTCTGAGGATTAAATGAGATATAATGGGGTGTGTATGCCCAGCATATAGTAAAGGCTCAGAGGATATCCATGGAGTGCCTGGCACACAGCACAAGTTCCCAATAAATAATTGTTGGATGCATGAACAGAGTTTTAAAGAACACAAGAGTAAAGCCAGATAGTAATTTCACTTCCCTGTAAGTACTTTTTTGCCATTGACAAGAGGGTCCAAGTTCTACCAGATGCTCCAGCCTGATGGTGACAGGCTTTTTCTAGCCAATTAGATCAATCATTTGGGAACAGACCACATCTGATCTGGGGAACTACTGATGCCAAATGGGACGTTGTTTCAAAGATGGTCCTCAGCTTTACCTTTTGATGACTCGAGTGAAGGTCCTCCTGGGCATGGTTGTTATGGGATTTCCAAGTAGGCGCCCACTTAGAACTGAGCTATGAAATGATGTGAATGTACCCAGGCTCTGTCCCACAGTGGAATCACTGAGTTGCTTCCCGTACACACAGCTGCTTTGGAGCTGCTCTGATACCCATTCCAGCCAGCAGATGGCAGTGACACACTCACAAGTAAACTCTTGGTCTTTCCAAGCCTCGGGTCTTTTGCTCAGTTTCTGGCATTGTCCCATCCTGGAAGGAAAGAGAGGCCAAACTAGCGTTTAATACTTGCCTTGGCTTCTTCAGGCGAACAGCTGAGGCTCAACAGAGACACCTGGGATGGTTAGCACCTGGACGTGGGCCATTTCCTTCTGGCTGTGAGCCAAGGAGGAGACCTCAGGAACTGTAGTCTTGCTGAAATGCACTTACTGGTTTCTTAGAGACAGGAATGATAAGAAAGAGGTCTACTGTTCTGTGCTCTAATCAGATCAACAGAAGAGAGGGCCATCAACCTCCACTTAGCTTCAGCCATGCTGTCACATGGTTTGGTTGAGAGGACTCTAGGCCAACTAAGAGGAATACAAGTAAAAGATGACAACTCTGTTTTAAGCAGTCTTGTGTCACCATGAAATGAATGGAACAGTCTTTTGTGTTCCACCCCTCTTCTGTGGGGTGCTGAAAACTTGCTCTTCCAGTTGCTTGGATCTGTGAATCCACTGTTACCTGTGTGTCCCTAAACGTTGGTTTCATTCTTTGTACAAAGGGAGTAATGAAAATCACATCAGAAGTTGTCGTAGGAATTAAGTGTGCAGCACCAGTCCAATGATTCTTTGTGCCAGCCTGATTTGCCAAGCCTTTGAACTGTATTAGTTCACTGAATCCTCATCCATACATTATCTCTTCCAATCCCCTTAGCCACCCTATGAAATGAGGAAAAAATACTTTGCCCCACCCTACAAGAAAGACAGAAATAAAGTCATGCAAAAGAAGTATATATACTTTTGCTCACATTTATACTGGGACACAGGAAAA